AATACGACTAATATTATTACTTCTGTTCCTAATCGTGCTACTTCTACGTTTCTTACTACTACGATTACTGATAGTATGGTTACGATCGCCAGCACTACCACTACGACTGCTACTACTACTGATCCTACTACTACTATTACTAATCAAACTACTCATTACACTACTACTATTACTGCTGCTACTACTACTACTATTACTACTGCTACTACGACTGCTACTACTACTACTACTACTACTACTACTACTACTACTACTACTACTACTACTACTACTGCTGCTGCTGCTGCTGCTGCTGCTGCTGCCTGTCCTACTGCTGCTACTGCTACTGCTACTGCATTAGCGCATTAGCGTATCCTCCTCCTCTTTCTCATCGTTTCTTCCTGTTCCTCCTTCCTCCTCCTTATCCTCCGCCTCATCCTCATCTCCTTTCCTTCTTCTCTTCGTCCCTCCTCCCTCCTCATCCCACCTCGTTATTCGCTCCTCGCTCCTCGCTCCCCTCTTCCTTCTGCCCCCCTCATCGTCATCATTATCCTTCTCCTTTCTCCTCGCTCCTCCTCGCTTTCATCAGCATCCTCGCATCCTCCTCATCGTTCCTCGCTCTTCCCTCCCCATCCTCCTCCTGCTCCTCCTCCTCGATCTGGTCACGGCTTGTCGGAAGCCATCTTGAAGCAACCTTGGGCCTTGGGCCACGTGAGGGAGTCGCATCGCCTTGCCCCTCCTCGCTCCTCCTCCTCCTCCTCCTCCTTTTCCTCCTCCCTCCTCCTCCTCCTCCTCCTCTTTCTTCTCTTTCCTCCTTCTCCTCCTCCTCCTCATCCTCTTCCTCCCTCGCTCACTCCTCTTCCTCTTGTCCTCCTCTTCCTTCTCCTCATCAGATTTGGATAGTTCTCTCGTTCTGGATGGTCCGGGGCGAGAGAACGATCCGCAAAGGACAGCCTCCCAGACCCGGGCCCGGACCCGGAGTGCTGCGCGGATGAGGAGCAGCCGAACGACGCGTCGCCGCCGCCCTGCAAGGTCCCGCGCACTGTGGCCGAGAAGTGAGTGAGAGGTTTCAAGTCAGCCATGCAGCTACTTCCAAGACAGAAGCTTGGGGCTGCGGGCAAAACACAAATATCCTGGAGTCCTGGAGTCCTGGAGGAAGATTTGAATGGGCGCCCCCGTCGCCTCGTGGGGGCGTGCCGACATAGAGGGAAGTCCGGATGAGCCGTGGAGCGTGTAGAGTGAGACTCAGGAGGGCTCTCTATGAGGCTTCGTTCCGCGTTCTGTGCGAGGGGTGTGCCGAAGTGAACAGGTGGTAGGTGGTGGACGGTGGGCGGAGGCGAAGAGCCGCGCGTGGGCTCTGCCACTTGGGTCTTGATCACGCTGTATAACTAAGGAGGGGGAGCAGGAGGAGGAGGGAGGACAGGCGCGTTGAAGGCCATTAAACACATGCACGTTCTACATTTGTTTTATCGCATCCGCACTTGCGCGTGCCTTTGGTTTATGGCCTCAGCCTTCGGCCCATTCTGCCACCTGGACTGGACTGTGGTCAGATGCCTCTGGGAGGCCTCCTGGGCGCGGTCTCGAAGGAGGAAGAAGGAGGATGGAGGAGGAGGAGAGGAGGAGGAGAGGAGGAGGACGAGGAGGAGGAGGGGGGGGAAGTCCAGAGTACAGAGTGCCTGGCACAAACGCGGGGGAATCTCTCTCTGTCCCCACTCGTTCGCGGCTCTAGAGTCCAGGAGCTCACCGTTCACCCCGTCTTGATTTCCCCCTCCATGTGCCGCAATGTTCATCGCATATCGTAGCAATGGTGAAGACGAGGGGGAGAGGGGGATGAGGCACGAGGGGGGAGACAGCGATGATGATGACGATGATGATGATGATGATGATGATGCTGATGATGATTTTTGATGATGATGATGATGATGACGAGGAGGAGGAGGAGGAGGAGGAGGAGGAGGAGGGGAGAGGCGCGGAGCTGGATTGCATAAGTTTGCAGTTTGCATGGACGGTTGCCCATGGATGTTGCCCTTCCCTTCTGCCCCCTCTGGACCTTCGGGCCCAGCTTGGGGTCCTAGGGTTTGGCAATATCCCGCCGCGGCGCGTCAGTGCTTGCTCGCTCGGCGTCGAGACGCCAATTTTGCTCCGTCGGGCCACGTTGATGCGTAGAGGATTTGGAGGGGGACACATTCGAAAGCTCGGTTTTGGATTCGTACCTCACCTCAGACCTCAGACCTCAGCAGTTTTAGAGATCAGAGCTGGGGCGCTGGGGCCCCCAGCTGGGGCTGGGCCTGAACGACATAGCTGCGCCGATCGCCGATCCCACCGCCATGGCCACCTCTGGGGGGACGGACGAGTTCCGGCTAGAGTTGGACACGGAGGTGCAGCCACCTCCAGAGCCACAGCATGTTCCTGAAGAAACCCCAGAGACATCGCAGAAGATGTGCATTTGTTGCGACAAGCCCCGCAAGAACAGCAAGACGAGGTTCTGCACGGCCCACTGCAACACCGAACGCTCGATGCATAACAGCTGCACGACCGATGACGAGAGGAGAGCACACAAAGAGATCATGAAGGACGACGTCGCGGCCGCTTTAAAAATCAAGGAGTACGAGCGGAAGAACCCGAAGAGCAAGCCTGGCAAGAAGCGTGGAACGTTCGACCACATCGGGTTTCAGCAGCGTTGGAAAGCCAGACACTTCTGGAACGACTTCGTGAGGGTCCAGCGCATGGACTTCATCGAGTACCCCGTCAGAGAACGACGACGAGCAGGAGAGAGGATGGAGGATGAAGGAAGAGGCCCCTGGAATTTGAATATTGGAAGCCCGAGTCCTGAGGTCCGAGGTCCGAGGTCCATCAGTCCAGGATCCAGGAGTCCAGGAGTCCAGGGCACGACCGCCCTGAGGTCCCCGTGGGCCTGGAGCCTTGAGATTTCGTGACTCTGCTCTGATCAGGTACGCGACTCACTCCAACAGAACGAGAAACTGGGACGTGACCAGATCCGAGAAAGAGCGGGATAAGTTGGCCGCTCGTAAAACCAAGGACAACTCAGACATGCTCGGCGAGGAAGAAGGCTGCGAGTTGCGCCTCGACATCAAGATCGGAGAGTTCAAGGACGTCGGCAGTGGCCTCGAGGAGGAGAAGGAGCTTTCTTTGCACGCGAAGCGCCAGAAGAGTGCGTCGGACGAGTCGTTCGAGAAGATGAAGATCGAGCTTCAGAAGGGTCTTGGAAGCATCTCCGACAAGGACGGCTTCCACGCGTCCGCAGCCAAAGCCGTGAACTTGCAAGACAGGGTGGATAGATTCACGGGGTCCGTTGGCGACACACCTTGTTATGATTTGCTTGGCCAAGCCTTGTCAGCGGCGGCGCCTCCGCCATCGACGCCCGCCGGGGCCGCTTCGTCAGCGGCAACGCCACTGAAGGAACCAGCCGGCTTTGCGAGCAGCGCAGGTACGCCAACTCAGTTGCCGCTCGACTCTGGTAAGAACGGGGATCCGCTGAGTACGCGAGCCAAGAAGCATAACCAGTGCACCCGGGAGCTCGTCGCCAAGAGAGACGCTCTGCATAATGCATCCGCCCAGGCGATCGACAGCCTCAAGAGCGGCGGAGTTGATGGCACCTTGGATGCAGAGTTCATCGGGATCTTGAAAAAAACGCGTAGATCTAAGCCTACTAGTGCTTGGCATGTACGACGCGCTCCCTTTCGGGCACGGTGGGCCACCAGACTTGAAGCCGAAATGCCCAAACACCCCCGAGGGTCGAGAGCAGAATGATATTGCGGTTAAAGAAGCCCTGTCTGCGTTTGGCTCCCTGAAGCCAGTGGAAGACGTCAAGAATTGCATCTCCGTCTCGGGTGCAGAGGCTACGATCAACGGGCTCCTCCTGTGCCAGTCCTTCGAGGCTATCGACGCTGTCGTTGAGGAGTGGGGCCTGGTCAAAGTTCAATGGGATCTCCTGACGAGGTCGGTGAAGAGGAGCACGCAAGACATTCAGAGCAGCGCGAAGGAGAGAGCAGCTTCGATGAGGAAACAAGCCAACGCGGAGGCCAAACGGAAGGCTAAGTTGGAAGCTGAGGCCAAGAAGAAAGCTGTCGAGCAGAAGCGCCGGGAGGCGGAGGCTCGGCTGTCAGCACCGACTGTGTCCGTCTTCAACTTGGACCTCTCCATGCACCCCAAGATCCTGGAGTTCTCGACCGACGCGGACTTCAAGGCGAAGCTCAGTGAGAATGGCGTCGATTTCACGATGCCCTTCATCATCCACGCGTCCGAGTGCGCGACCATGCTGCGCAGCGGGGAGGGCTCGGACGCTTTCAGCTCCTTGTTGTCGCGCTTCTGCGCGCAAGTCCAGGCCGTGTTGTCGAAGGCAAAGGATAGGGGATAGGCGGCGGGGCCCATGTCGCGCGTCGTGCGTATCTTGCTTTGCTTGCTCGTAGTCTTAACCGAGGCCCCCGCGAGGCGAGAAGGAGGAAGGAGGGGGGAGGGGGAGGGGAAAAGAGGAAGTGGAGGAGAGGATTGCAGGAGGAAAGTTGAAGAAGAAGGAGAAGGAATAATAAGAATAATAATAATAAGAAGAAGCGATGCGGCGATGCGGAGATGGTCGATGATTTTTCTGGGCGTCAGATGCTTGCATGCTTGCTGCTTGTCTGCGTGTAGCCTGGGACCCAGACCCCTCAGAGAGCCCAGTTCCCATTGGCCCCGTGCCCTGGGCCCCGAGGACCTGGGGGCCTTGCTTCTGGAACCCTGAACTTCCTTGAGCACCCTGGGACTCCCCTGCAACCCTGGGCCTGGGGCCCCAGGAAGGCCCTGGAAGATTCGAGTGTTCAGAGTTCGGAGTTCAGAGGGGAACGAGCGACTGACAGACTCCTGCCTCTGGTCATGCCCCTCTACCCGTCTGCGCGCCTCATTACCTCGCCCCTCATCACTACTCCTCCCCCATCCTCCCTCCCCCCCCCCCCTTCTCCGGGATTCCTCCGACCTTCTTGCCTGCCCCTCTCCTTGCGCCCCCCCTGCCCGCCTGCCCGCAGGGCGTGGATCAGAAGATCCAGAGCCCGGTGCCGGACATCTCGTGCGCCAAGCGGGCTGCCGAGGCGTTGTCGCAGATCTGGGCGCCGAGTAACGCCGTGAGTCTAGGTGACGAAGGTGGCCTTGACAAGATCACGGAGACTATGTGGTTGTGGGGGGCATCGCCTAGCGGCACCTCGATTTCGAAGGAACCCCGCGGCCTCGGCGGCCTGAGGATCAATTTCGGCGATCCTCTGCGCGTGATCACGACGCCAGTGGCGAGGCTCACTCCTGTTGTCTACAACATTACCAACCAGCCTGTGACGTCCAACGCGTTGTCTCAGTTTTTTTTGTCAACTTGAAGGCTGGCGACTTGAACGGGGTGGCCATGTACAACGGCCGAGTTGGATCGAATGCTATCGTATACATTCCTCCTGCTTGGTTCGCGTGCTCTCAGGGCAGTCCTGCGGCAGCGGGGACCGCGGCGCAGCGCGTCTACGGCGTCCGCCAGAGCGTCACGCCAATGCTCGATGACAATACCCAGCAACTCTCGAGCTTCATGATCGAAGCCGTCATGGATGTCTTGGTGAAGGATCTTGCTGAACTGGGATCGGGCCCCCAGACTTCTGCAACGACGCGCAGCACGGCTGCTGTCAAGAAGGACTTGTCTGTTTTGGCGAAGTGCAGGTCCAGCCTCAAGGCCTGCGACGAGACTACTGCCAAGACATTCGTGGCGATGCTGGAGGCAGATAACCAGAAGGTCAGGCAGCCAGAGGGCGAGCCCGAGGCGGCGGCCTCCGATGGTGCCCCGGCCTCGTCCTTGCTGGTGGCGGTAAAAGCTGAGGCTGAGAAGAAGGAGAAGGCTGAGGCTGAGGCCCAAGCCGAGGCGGCCCAGGCTGAGGCTGAGGCGGCTGAGGATGCAGCAGCTCGAGCGCCTGCCGATGGCGCCGACGAAGAACGCGGAGACATGAAGAAGGCCGCTGACGCTGAGGAGGCTGCCGTGACGCCGGGTGGCCCAGGAGTCAACGACGACGTCCCCGACGAGGCCGAGGTTCACTTTCACTGCGATGGAACTGCTACCCCGATCGACGGGCAGATTCCGGACGAGGAGCAGCTCGACGGGCCCGACGCCTCCATGAGTGAGGCGACGACGGCCGTGGCGGCTGAGCAGCAGGCGCTGGACTCGAACAAGGAGAAGGACAAGGGGATGGAGAAGGGGAAGGGGCCTCAGCCTGAGACAGTTGTTGAGCCAGCTGTTGCGGCGGTCGGCGGCGGCATCGGGCAGGAGGAGGAGGGTCCTCCAGTTAAGAAAGCGAAGCTCGCTGATGAGGCGGAGGCGCAGCAGCAGGAGCCGCAGCAGCAGCAGGAGCAGCCGACCAAGAAGCTCAAGGCGGCGGACGACGCGCCCGCAGCGGCAAAGTCAGCAGGAGCACCTCCAGCGGCGCAGCAGGTCCCGGGCGCGGCGGCGGCGGCAAAGGCGGTTGCGAAGGGGAAGCAGAAAGCAGCTGCAGCTGCGAAGGGAGGAGCTGCGGCGCAGGGGAAGCTGCCCTTTGCGAAGGGCAGCAGTAGCAGCGCCGCAGGCTGCAGCTGAGGGGCTGAGGAGTGAGGAGGGGCCGAGGGCCGAGGCGGCCGAGGGCCGAGGCGGTCGCCGACGCAGGCGGCCAGTGAGGTTCAGCCAGAGCCTCGGTTGCTGGCTGAGTCAATCCTCCTCGTCCTCCTCCCCCTCCTCCCTCCTCCTCCCTCTGCCTCTTCCTCTTCTTCCGTCCTCCTCATCCCTCCATCCTCCTCGTTCTCCTCCTCCTCCTCCTCCTCTCGGATCCTCCTCCGACCTCCGACTCCTCCCACCTCCCACTCCCACCTCCCACCTCGCCTCCGTTCACTCCTCGCTCTTCGCCTTCCTCCGATCTTTGACCTCTGATCTGACTCTGATCTCTGGTCTCTGATCTCTGATCTCTGATCTCCGCCGCGGCCGCGGATCTCAGATCTTCGATCTCCGATCTCAGATCTCAGTTCTCGGATTCAGATCTGCGATCTGCGATCTCCTGTCCAATTTCTGAGTCCAATAGAGTACGATGTGCCTACGTGCGATGTCCGATGCGTGGTCCGAGGTCCGGGGATCCTCTGATCCGATCCCCCCCTCGCTCCTTGGGCCCCCCCGACCCCCGACTAAGGTGTTGAACCGCCTCCGCGGGGCGGTCGCGCACCACGCGCCAGACGCGCGTGCTTGGCGAGTGGCGACGGAAGGGGAAGGAGAAGGAGGTAGGAGAGGAGAACGAAGCCGAGGGAGGGAACCTCAGACAGGATAGAGGATACACGAGGAAGAGGAGCAGATAGACAAAAGGAGAGGGGAGAGGAGGAAGAGACGGAGGGAGATGTGGAGGAGGAGGGAGGAGATGAGAGTGAAGCAAACTTAGGATCAGAAAAATGAGGGAGAGGGTGGCTGGCGGCTTGCGGCTGACGGCGCGCGCGCATCATGTATTCTGGATTCTGGCAGATGGCAAGACGGAAGGACAGATCGTGTCTTGATAGAGACACAATTGGCACGTTGGCACGGTTTCTGGGGAAACCTGTTCTTGATAATGTTGTGGTTTCCTCCTCTCCTCCTTCCTCTCCTCCTCCCTCCTCCCTCGTCTGGCCAGGTCCAGTTTGTCTTCTTTTCCTCGTCCTCCTCCTCCACCTCCTTCACCGCCTTCGCATGCTCCTCCTCCTCCTCCTTCTCCCCCCCCCCCTCCTCCGTTTGCCCCTCGCGGCGCGGACGGCCGTCGGACGGGCTGGCCGGCCGGCTGGCCGGATGCGCTTTCTCTTTTCCCATCCTCCTCGGTTTGTCGGTGTCCTTCCTGCTTCCCCGCTCTGCCTGCTACCTGCTACTGCGGATCTGCTCCGTTTTTCCTTTCTGCGTTTCTTTTTCTCCTCCTCAGCACGTTATGCGCAAATTCTCATTCGTAATGTCCAAGAACGCTATTCTCAAAAATGGGTCCAAATTCATGCTCTCACCATTGCACCGCGGGTTTTCCTAGAACCGCATCACGGCGATGATGACAGGCACTACAGCTACTGCAGAGCCACCTACTGCATCTGCGGGGCAACCTGCTGCACCTCCCTATGCGTGGCCGAACCCAACAGCTACGATGCCAGCCGCAGAGGTGCAGATGCCTCTGGTAGCCGAATCCGCAGCTACTGCAGGGACACCTGCTGCAACGACGCCAGCAGGGTTGCCTGCCAATGAGGCACGGCTGAGGCGCATAGAAAGATCCCCCGGGGTAAGCTCGCTTCGCGCGCCATATGGCAGCGCGCGGGGAAACCCGCTACGCGTGCGCAGGACCGAGAGCCCAGCGAGTGCGCGCAGCGGTGCTAGTGCCATATCTGAGCGAGTCATGCTGCATACGGTGCTGATGGTCAATGCAGATGGCCAGATAGCCGTGCGTGCCGGCGAAGACACCTTTGAGTACATTCCACTTGCGCTGAGCAGCATCCCTGCATGTATGACGGACCCTTCTTCACGGATCTTCCAGAGGCATCCTATCACAGAAGAGGGGGCCAGGGGGTACATGAATGTCTTTACATCTATGATGAGGGATCAGTGGGTGATGGGTCGAATGCGCCGTACAGGCATGCACGGCACGAACAGTGGAAACATGGTGGATGAATGCTGACTATCCTGTTGGACATCGGCAGCAATATCAGCATCATTGGTTTGAAAATTGCGCTGACATTCGAGCGAGCTTCACGCTTGCATGATTACGACATCAAGAAGCTGGATCTAGCAAAGAGGCTGTCTGTGTCTGGAGTGGGGCATGGAGCCGCCGTTTGCGACGAGTCAATACATTGCAAAATTGATTGCAAGGAAATGGGCGACTCAGCGGGGACACCCGCTATTGCCAGGCTAGACACCTACTCAGCCAATGTGGCAGAGGGATCTGGCGAGAATATACCCGCAATCCTGGGATTAAGGAGCATGTCGAACATGCGCGCCATCCTGATCCTTGAACAGGGACATGAAAATATGGTCATCCCAGGCACAGACATGCACAGGCTCCTCCTTGGTAATGGCGCCGGGGTGCTGGACTTGATGAAGATGCCACCAGGGCACCTGGCGATCAAGGTCGACGAGTACGGGGTCGCAACAGAGGCTAATGGCTCGACAGCGTTTACTGTCACGGTCAACCCTCAGCGCGAGGAGACACCCGCATCCGTCAAGGAGATCGCAAATGCGGAGCCGATGGGGGGGGGGGGGGGCAACCTGCATCCGGCAGCGCGGGGGCACCTGATCCCAACAATGCCCGCGCATGCATGATGTCCCAGGACAACTGGGGCATAAGTCACTACATCCACGAGGAGACGCTTTCTTACACGATCCAGTCTATGGTGATCAATTCCCTCAAGACCAGGCATCGCAGGAATACGGTGTGCGGTGGCAACCCCACGCCTGCTGATCAGGACTTCGTCTTGTGGAACTTGCAGGCGAAGGTTCATCGGGCCATGCGCGAGGAGGGCAGCGAGCGGGCGCCGCCCGACAAAGCTGCGGGACAACCCGCTGCATCGAGCGACGCTGCCGAGAAGTATGACATCTTTACTTCGAGCAGTGGTTCAGGGGCCCATGGCACGGGCGCCTGGGCGCCCCCATCGCCTGAAAATGAGCGACGGGGGCAGGCGCGCGCCGCGGCCGCTCGCGCTTGCCCAGACAGGCCGAACACTGAGGTGCAGTTTTCAGGCGCGGGGGCACCTTCACACCTTTCCCGGGCGCCGGCTGTGCGCGCCGGGGGCAGCGGCGGACCCGGCTGCGCGGCCGTCGCAGAGAAAGAACGTTCATCTCATTATTATCACTATCGTGCCCTAGTCATTGAAGATTTACGAACAGCTTGCGCTGAACTCCGAGCTCGAGGGCACATGTGTGACCGTATTACACGCGCAGAGTTTATGTCCTCTACTGGTGCACAGTACTTGGGTGGCTTACTATCAGGGGATTACCAACTACTGCGGGTGGCAACGCCCGCTGACTGGCATGTGCGATTGCCTGGAATGCGGGCGGGGCCACATTGCCAACGCATCCAAAATCTGATGATCAAAGCTCGGGCTCTACGTATGTCGATTGTACTCGTGGGACCTCCAGGGTCATTATGGAAATGAGGTCATATACGCGATACCATTGAAGTTTTAGGCTTGCACGTCATGCGTCTGCGACGTTGCCACTTCGGTCTGATGCTCGACCGTTCGAGTCGTTTGCCGAGCGGTTCGCATTTGCAGGTGGCAGCCACCTACACGCGCATCCCCACCAAACTGCAGGGGGACCTGCGCAACGCGCGGAGCATGAGTTAGACTGGCGCGGCCAAGGCGCCCAGAGGGCGGAATGGCGAAACAAAACACTTGCTATCATGACGGCAAGGCTAATTGATGAACTAGACTATCATAAAACGAAGAGTCATCATACAAGTGCTTTACGCCTCAGCGTACACACACGAGTGGACAAAGAAAGGAGCTCGGACTTACGTCCAGTCTCTGAAAATGGCCCTCAATGGGATCACGTGGTACGCTGGGTGACGATGAACTTAACTTCGACGACAATATTATTCTACAGGACATCCAGGTTCAAGATCAACCCATCGGGTACAATTTCAATGCGCCATTACCAACTGGTGAGACAAACATTCGTACTCGACTGTACTGTACTGGGAGCCTCCGGCGCCAGTCTTATTCGGAAACGAGGCACAGCGACCGCGCCCAAGGCGGGCTGCGACCGTCGATGACGATCGTCTTCCCCCCCATCGATTGAGCGCTGCCGCGCGCTACCTTCTATTCCCGACTTTCCGACACTTACGTCACCCAAGACTGAACAACAACAGACAGTACTACCACTTGATGCCTGGATGAAGCAAAAGGAAAAGCATATAGTTGACAACAGAAGCCGGCATCAAACCACGCAAGCTACGCAAGGTAATTGAAAATAGCAACCACCATTGCGGCGAGGACTTGCAGGGCCTCGGGTGTGGGGCGAATTGCACCGACGTGCCCCTAGACACCGATAGCGACGAATAGGAGGAATCCTTCATCACTCTACCAGCGGGGTTACCTGCGGATGCACATGCCAATGTGTTTTCCGCAACGCCAACCTTGTGTTTCGGACGACAGAACAAGGTAGACATGCTGGAACTGTGTGGAGGTAATGGGCGAATATCGCAGTTAGCCTTCAGCCGAGGTTTTTCCTCAGGAGGAAACCTCGACAAACTTTCCTATGTTGACTTTGAAAACACGGGAATCCAAGACGCAAGCATGCACTGTTTGGATCTGTTTCGTCAACGCTGTTACACTACAATCCAAGTGCAGAACAATTGGACTGCCGTCCTAGTTCAGTTTCAAAGTCAACTACGACACTTGGCATGAATGAGACCTTCCACACACCAAGTTCTGTGGAAGGGCTGCCGTGCGCCAAGATGACCTCCGACGGTTTTTTTCTTACGAGAACAACCAGTGGGTACTTGGATGGAAACCACCACGGACTACACTGGCCAAGCGCGAGGGCACTTGCAAATCCAACATGGACCAATGTACCAGGGGCCTTCGTGACCCCCACGGGGTATTAATG